CTTAATACTACAAATAATTGTAAAACTGTGAGTTTGTGAACTCTCCAAACATACTTACTTTTCTTTTCCTTATCAAAACTACTAGACTAATATTTATTATTTGTCTAATTATTTTCTCATAACTATGTGAATAGCGCTTGAGAACATGAATCTCGTGCTGCTTAGTAGGTTAACTTCATTTAGAGAGCCATTCACGACTTTATGCTTTTAAACCTATACTTTAGATGATACTAATTAGATGGACAATAACTTACCGAGCACATTACTTATATATAAGCACGTATAAACTTATGCAGATACATAAACATGTGAGTGAGGTGGAAAATAAGTATTGGTAATGCGATGGGAATCCTCAAAAAGAACATGAGTAGATGTCTGAGAATGTACCTGTGATTTAAAAGAAGTGTTTGTTATTGCGTAAAAACTGACTTTGATCACTTGATGACATGTGTGATCACTTAGTGACTTCCAATAGGCCCGATTGTGCATGAATACAACTTCCGTCAAAAGTATGATTCATAAGCGTGCTATCATAGCATGGCTATACCCTTGATACAGATATCCCCGCGTGAGGTTTCTTTTACTATTATTATTTATCATAGTGTCGACTCGACGACACACTCATCTTAATTGGACATGTTCTAGGCCACAGTTATTTTTCATAGTTTTACGAAAATTGTTCCACGATAACATTGTGTTAGTGCACAACGTTTCAATATTTCATGCACAATGACTTAAAATAAAACTGATAAACACAAGATTAAATACAAGGAATTGGGTGGAGAATATATATATAAGTGAGTTTATGCGCATACATGATACCCTGAGTTATATATAAGGGCCAAGAGCAAATACCTGACTTGTTCCCGAGACGGTTTACGGGAAAAACTTATATATATATATGAAAATATTTTTCTCTAATTCAAATAACATCTAATAAAAAATATAATGTGTTTGTGTGCCTTATGATAGGCTTTTTGATAGATGTAGTTAACATCTCTTTTATTTTAGTCCCTTTAATTTAGTTTGCATCCTTTCTTTATATCTATCACATAAATCTACTCGTGCTCTTCATTTTATATGCTTGTTGGGACTTTTCTGACTCCCCTGAGGTTTGTGCATTCCAGACTCAAAGACTGTTTTTTTCTTCGCAGCATTAAGAGTATTTTGAGAAATAGGTCCAGGGACAATAATCATAGTCTATCCTATCAATTTCTCAGCTTTAGTTTATTTAGGTAGTTATTTATTTCAGACTTTTACTTGAGCTCCATGGGTTTTCTAGATTATGATGTATTTTCTTACTCTTTTCCATTGTAGATAGATGTAGTTGAACTGTCTTTCTGAAAATTTCTTTATATATTTCTTTTGTTATCTTAGTTACATGCTCTGTAGGCTAGTTTTTGGTTATATATATCTGTGTACAAGATGATCTAGAGACATGAATATGACTGTATGGTTGCAATGTTGACCGAGTCACGTCCCAATTATATACACTTTTGGAATCAGGGCATGACAGAAGCTCTTGACAATTTACGGTTCGTGAAGGACAACCAACAACTGGATGAATGGTTTGTGCCAAGAACTGATACTATCTCATGATACTATCTCGTGTCAGATATTGATGAGAGCAATGAATGGACTGGGATAATGGAGAACGAGGGACATGTACCTATTTCTAGTGTACAAGGTCCGCCTAAAATGAGGTGGCTCAAACTCTTGGAGTTAGTGAACCAAAAAAACCAACCAAGGAGTAAGATCATACGGAGTGCAAAACTGGTGTGTCCGTCTCATTCAAAGAAGAGAATATGATAAGGTAGAAAATGTGTGAGGGAAGGATGAAACACTCTCTCATATTTACCAAGGCAAGATGTATATGGCCTAATAAGCTCTCGACAATTTATGGTTCGTGCCTTCGTGGAGGACAACCAATAACTAGATGAATAGTTTGCCCCAAGAACTGATAACCAACAACTGGATGAATGGTTTGCGCCAAGAACTGATACTACCTCATGTAAGATATTGATGAGAGCGATGTAAGGACTGTGATAATGGAGAACGAGGGACATGTACCTGTTTATGGTGTACTAGATCCGCCTAAAATGAGGTGGCTCAAACTCTTGAAGTCCAAAAACCAAAAAACCAAGGAGCTAGATCATACGGAGTGCAAAACTGGTGCCCCTTCTCATTCAAAGAAGAGAATGTGACAAGCTGGAAAATGTGTGAGGAAAGGATGAAATGCTCTCTCGCATTTACCAAGTAAGGAAAGTAGTATATGGACAAGGAAGATTATGTCGCACAATGTACCGACCAAATGAGATGGAGTTGGAAAATGATGATGAGTGGATGTTTTCTTTCATTTTCTCGAAAGGGGACTTGCGATGTCTTGTTATCAGTTGAACTAGATTGTGATTGCATGACTCATCTTCCTCTGTGGACACATTACATATGGGGAAAAGGTGGCTGAAGCTTTCATCATTTGAAATAGTTATGTGAGCAACTCATCAGCTTACAGTTTACATGGACACAGAATAAGAGGTGAGTAGTAGCAAACCTGTGACGGATAAACTCTGATAGTGCTGCAGCAGAAGCTTCCCTTTGAAACCTTTCCTGTCTTTTCAAGGCCTTGCTCAAAGTCATACATATAGGTGGAACCTACATAGTTATATCGCAAAAATGCAGTTATATCCCAAGCACAAAACTAAATAGAATAAGTAAAAATTATATAAACTCAATGAAAATATGAAAGAAAACTATTTTCGTTACGAAAGAAAACTATTTTTTCTTAATACTAAAGAAACTCTTTTTTCTTAACAAAGGCAAAAAAAGCATGTACTATCTTTTGCACTTTCATAGACAATTTATAAACAAATCGCAGTTTCATTATATACTCATGTTAGCTGATAAAGAGCTCAAAAAGATGAAACAAGATCAAGATAAAAATGCAACATAAGTTAATACAACAAAAGATATATGCATTCAAATTATGACCATGGTAAGGTGACATACAATTGAAAATTTGAATAGCATAGTAAACAAGTAAAACTTTGACACCATTGCTTTTAAACATATATATAAGGGCATCTAACTTTGAGAGATTTCGTCAAAAGATTTTAAAACATGAATAGGATTAATATCAGAATGGGGTATGAATTCAGAGGTCTGAACTCATGGAGTTAGGGTAGTTGAATGATTATCAAATGTACAAGTGATCAACACATCCATTTAGTAAATTTTGTTGCATATAAACAAGCCTTAGGAGAACATAACCCATCCTGGTTTTTTATGCATTGAAAGTTGGTTTCTAAACTAAGAAATCAAGTACTATCTAAAATTCTTCAAAAAATCATAGATTTCAAAAGTCAATTGTCGAAATTTCAGATACCACAGCTCAATGAACTGTAGTAAGTGAAATAAAAGTTTCAGAATGGATGCATCATGTTTTGATATACATCGTCCGAGATAAGATCCATATCTCAGATATGATCTCAATAAAGAATTAAAAATTTGTTTCTGCTGCTCCAACGAAGTTGTGTTGGTGTGTTTGTGTGTGGTGTGTGTGTGTGTGTTGTGGTGCTGTGTGTGATGTATAATATATTATATATATATATATAGATATGAATATGGCGTATGCTGGTACCAAGCACAAATTTTGTCTTGGTAGCTGAGGTGGCACAATCTCCTCCACTCATTCAACATGGGGAACCATAGTCACATGGGTGCCAGAGTGGCTATGGGATATGTAACCATCTTGATAATGGTGGAGAGGATATGTCCACCTCACTACCAAGCCAATTTTTTGTGCTTGGTACAAGTATACCCATTTTCTCATTATATACTATTATATATATATATATATATATATATATATATATATAAGAATATACATACATATGAATGTATCTACATACAAATCCCACAGGTTTGAACTTTTCAAAACTAATTCCGTCATAAGATCTAGTAAATAGTGTTATAAATAGTCTCACAATTTTGACTTCTGTTATTGGATGAGAATATTCTAAATTGCGAGTGATACTATGGATCCAAGATAAGTTGGTCACCGAGTCACCAAGCACCATGAGTGTGATATCTTCATAAGTGATTAAGCCTAATAACATAATTATTTTCAATTTTTCTTAACTACGTGCCACCTAGGTATTGAGTTGTCAAATTTTTAGCTAGCCTACTTTCCATATGTCACAATGTCACATATTCCTTAGCTTTCACCCATATGTTTCCTTGGAAAGATAAGCACAAGAGGAAAGAGAGGAAACTTCATTTTCTCATCTGACCTCCTGTCCTCTCTTTCTCCAAGTGACCAGCAGCCCCTTTGGGCTCTCCTCTTCTCCAAACTTTTGCAGGAAACTCCTCTAATTTTCAATAATTACCCCCTCCTTTTAATGATAACTCGATTTGCCCAAACTTGAAAGAAACTAATGAAGCAAGTTGAAGCTTTCAAGGTTTACTTGAAATAGAGACCTTCATAAAGTAATTTGTATCCCTCCTTATTAATCCTTCTAGATCGAAGATAATTCATGAAGAAATTAGATTTTATAGAACCTAGATGATAAAGTAAAAGTCATGAAAGAAACTATGATGGGAATCCAGAGGGAAATAAGTTTTTTTGCATGACAATTTGTTGATATGTTTGATTGTTATTCCTTTGATGTATATAAAAAAAGACCATGAAAAGCATTTTTCTTGACTGAAAACTTTAAGATCATTTGACCTCTGTGTAACCATCAATCAGTAAGGAAATGTTTAAGAAATAATTGAAGTAATTTATACCCACAATATCAGACATTTTGATTATTGACAAAACAGAACAGCCAGAAGTCTATTCCAGATATAGCCGTAATAAACAGCTTGTATCTCTCTCTATGTAACTTAGATTGATGTCCCGTTTGGGACACTGCAAAACTGACCAAAAGATCTTTCCGTTGATATATTATGAGCCCTAGTTGCCTCTGTTTAATGTCCTGTTTGGTCCAATAAATTGATTGGTTCAGAAATTTCTGCATGCATGCAGTAATTTATTGGAATTATCTTGAAATGGAGAAATATAAACATATCAATAATTCCTTAATATGAAACTATAAGTATGGTGATATATATATGAAATGGTAAACGATAGCCAAAGCAGAAGGTTAACTAGAAATAAACCTCATAAAGAGTTTGATTTGAAAGCTTAAGGACTTTCAAAAGATATTAGGGAAACCATTCTATACTAAATTAAAATAATGAAAGTATGAAACCCTCATTGTTGTAGGAGGGCAAGATCAGGACATCGGCGACATGCAGACTAAGGATCCAGAGAACTTTAAACTCGAAAGGTAAGCGGCATGTGTTATCTATTTGTCAGCACATGATTTGATGGGTCAATACTAAGTTGATCACTTGCTATGAACCTTAATTCATGTACTTAAGCTAACATTAGAATGTGTGAAATATACAGCCACAAAGCACTCATTATGGTTTATACATGATTGATCCTAAATGCTTCTTGTGTGTAAGATTTATAAGGACATTTAAAGTCCTAAATACTTGATGTTGTGAGGAAACACCTCCTACGTGGAGGATACCTCCTTTCAAAGGCCTATGACCTAATGGAGGACTTGAAAACTGTGACTTCACTCAACTTCCTTGGTGGAAGAATCGATTCTGGGAAATCTTTATCTCATGTAATACCATCTTGATATGTTAAGGAATCTATATGCTGCATTTTAAATTACAATTTATATTGCTTGAAATATGAACATGATCAAAATCTATACACTGGTTTATTTGATGACCATTAATTTAACTAATAGACCATGTCAGTTACCGGGCTTCCTAGCTAACCACGCTCATGGTTACAACTAATTGCAGGCCCTTTTCAAGAACAAAACAAGACATCTCAAGAGCTAGATGCTGCGTGAAGGAATTATTACTTTGGATTACTTTTGTACTATGAACGTTACATAAGCCCTTGTAAAGGCAAACTGTGCTTTGACACGTACAAATCTTTATGAGCAAGCTAACTGGCTTTAGTATTTTGGATAGTTTGTGTTCTTGCAGGTAAATGTTATCCACATGAACAGGTTTGTATTGCCTTAAGCCTTGCAAGTATTACTTATTGTTACCTGTGGCGGTTGTCCAATCCTGTTTGCATTTTAGGTTTGTTACCAAGTACGTGTTTGGGTTGTGACGATGAGGATACTCTAATCATGGAAGATTATATGGATTTTCAGATGTTGGTTTATCAAGCACTATTGCAAATTATAAATACAACTACGAATTCTTTTGTGCATGGCTATAAACTGAGTTCACTTGAAAATTTTAAAATGAAGGATTCTCACTTGTTATACACATAAAAGAATGACGTTGAATAGTTCTTCATTGAACTCTGTAAAAAAATAAATTGCATATTTCATGGATGACATTGTTGACAATTTGACATGACTATAAAAGGAGTAATTATCACTATTTCGGAAAATTTACCTCTTTAGGCCTCTTTCTAGAAATGCAACAGGCAACCTCCTGAATAAGGGCAACCCTCTCCTCTTTACCTTTGTGTTCTCCATCTCTAGCCAAAATCTACAAAGAATAGAGAGTAACCTCGTCCTTACCTTCTCTAAGAAAATAGTGCGTTCTAGTATGACATTTGATGTTCAATTGATAGGAACTCTGATCCCCAATAGAAATTGATACCTTTCCCATTTCAAGATCTCCAACACAATCACAGAAAGACTGGAATGCAGTTAACAAAGTCCTTCAATATGTAAAATTAGAACAATAGTTAGAAGCAGTTATTCGGAGAACTTTCAGAACAAAGATGAAATTTTACAAATTTGAGCTCATATTACCACAACTGTTCATGCTGACCCAGTCCAGCAAGGCCGTGGCAACTTCCTAATTGAAGAGTAAGAGAAGAGAAAACAGAAGAGTAATTTTGCTCCACTGCTTTTTTACCAGTCTTACCACCACCTCTGTGGTACATTCCAATCTTAGCATCCTTTTCAAATGCAAAAAGTCCACAAAAAGAGATCACCAAAACTACACAATCCTCAGACATACCTGAACAATGCAGTGAGAGCAAGAATAGCTGCTTGCAAGATGTCCTCATCACCGTGATTCATGTTGTCTCCCCTTTCTGTATCACCTCTAAGGATAGGTGTTCGATCAAGTACAGATATCAAATGCTCCAGAAACAAACTTGAAAGCACGGAATGCTGTGAAAATGCCTGTTGGCATACAAAAAACAAATAATGTAGAAAAAGAAGTTAGAACAAAAAGAAAATAATACACATAAGGCAAAAAGGTTGTAAAATAACAGATAATAAGCACACCAAATATAGCATACTTCCTTTCCCTTAAGTAATTTTCACTTTTTTATGCAGTATCTGGTTGTAAGTACTTGATGAGTCAGGAATCGGGATCAGCAAAAGCGATATATATGTGATATTCAATCTTGATCAATCAACAAAATAAACTTGGTCCCCACATGATTATGAGATATTCAATCTTGATCAATCAACAAGATCTAACGATGGAAAGAGGTGTGTGTAACTATCTTAATTACACCATTGGTGTATTGTAACCCTACCCTCTATATAAATAAATAAATACACACACACATACATACACATGCATACAGTTTTCCATATATTTATGTGTGTGTGTATACATACATGTGTGTGTGCGCGTGTGTGTATATATATATGGGGAAGGCTTATTTGTCCCTAGGGCATAACTAGCTTAGTTATGCCCGCTAGTAAAATGTGGATTATGGAACAAATTTGGACGATCAACTCTGCTCACCTTGGTCTATACATCTTAAAACATCTACAACTAAAAAGTTTATGCGTTTTGAACATAAATTACACATGCATCAAATTGTCAAAAAATTAACGGTTTTCTAACAATACAACGAAAGAGCCCTGTTGATATGATTTGCTTCATTCATCATAATATAGATGTCTCAAAACATTTATAAACCAAAAATCATGATGTTTCACTACTTCTAACACATTTTTTATCGTCTCTTTAGTTGTATTGTCGTAAAACGGTTAAATTTAAAATTGCTAGATGGATAAGCAAGGTTTTAAATATCAAATATTGAGGAAATATCGGATGGCCAAAATTAATATCGGATTGTGTATTGGGGAAATTCAAGGATATGTAGTAAATATCTAAATAGAACAATTTTTCAAAACCGACTGAATTTTTTTTTTTTTTTTCAAAATCGACCGTTTTTTTTTATTTATCAAAATCGACCCGGTTTTGTGATTAGGAGGTTAATCACTATCCTAAATAGTCGGGGTTGCCAACCCCGACTATTTAGGATAGTGATTAGCCTGCTAATCACAAAACCGGGTCGATTATACTTTGCAGTGGTCTGCAAGCTAACGCTGCTGCAGCTTTGAAGCAGTAATAGAACGAGAAATTACATAACACAAGACCAACAATAAAAATATTAGAACAATTTTAAACCGACTGAATTTTTTTTTTTTTTTTCAAAATCGACCGTTTTTTTTTATTTATCAAAATCGACCCGGTTTTGTGATTAGGAGGTTAATCACTATCCTAAATAGTCGGGGTTGCCAACCCCGACTATTTAGGAGGGTGTTAAACCCTAATTAAAGGGTGATTAGCAGGTTAATCACTATCCTAAATAGTCGGGGTTGCCAACCCCGACTATTTAGGATAGTGATTAGCCTGCTAATCACAAAACCGGGTCGATTTTGATAAATAAAAAAAAACAGTCGATTTTGAAAAAAAAAAAACAGTCGGTTTTGAAAAATTGTTCTATCTAAATATCGTAACGAATTTTTGCATATATGTATAATGCACTAAAATATAATCTCAACATACTTACTAAAATCTAAGCATGCAATATATATATCGACCAACATATCGACTAATATATTGTCCATATCAAGGATATATCGCCCAAAATAACCAAAAGCGGTAAAGGATATTCAGAGACCATATCGATTGCGGCAAGCCATATAAAAGAATATATCAAACGATGTATCGGGCCATGTCTGCGATATTTAAAACAATGTGGATATCTATAACCCAATATGCCTACTTTTTTGTCTATATATCATTCAAAACATAGATCAAAATGAACGGAGTGGATTAAGTAAAAAGATCGCATATACTGTAGTATGAAGGTGGGCATAACCAAGCTAGTTAGCCCTAGGAACAAATAAGTCATCCCCCCCCCCTCCTACAAACACACACACACCTGGAGAGAGAGGAATACGGGTATGCTTGGAACCAAGCACAAAATTTTTGGTGCTTGGTAGTTAGATGATGGAATCTCAACCATAGATGTGAGTGAGATTAGTAAGATGGAACATTCCCATGTGACACCTTTCTCTTTGTAATTTACAACCTTAAGATGTGGGGTTGAGATGCATTCACCTCACTACCGAATGAGCTGCCCACTAATGCTGATAGTATTTAGGCCAACCTAGTTGTCACATTGGGTGGGTGTGGAGTCTAGCGCTTGTGAGTGGGCAACTCATTTTGCTAAATGAGCTGATAGCTCATACCCATTGTCGTCGTATGCATATACATACATATGTATATCAGTATATGTATATTAGGTTTGATGGATGTGAAGTGACGGCGGTTTATTTAACAAAATAAACGACCAAGAGATAGAAGGGGTGAGACCTGGCCCTTCTGATGTGACTAGCAGGGTGGACCTCATAACATGACTATCTCTTGGTACTAGCTCATTTAGCAAAATGAGCTACCACGTCATAGCTATTTTTTTCTCACACACCGCGAAATCCCCTCCTCTGGGGGACCATGACCACGACCACAGGCATGCACACACATACTTTGTTACCTGAAAAAAATATGATACTTTGTTGGTTGGGATTCGAACATGTGGTCCAACTTCATATAAAATGTTAATATCTCTTTTAATTAATATGCCCTATAGGAACAAAAAAAACCATTAGAGCTCTGTGGTAACTATATTTGACATCATACACTTAGTGACAGCAGTATTTTCTGTTGAAAAATGCACATCTGAACACTATTTTGTTGTTTTCTTATTTTGGATTCAGCTACATACAGAACAGTCCAGTGGGTAGTGTCAGACAAAAACTTACAGAAAGTAGAAATTTGCATGAAATTTTTGTCCGGCAGGCTTGGCTACTTAAGGATTACTCACAATAAACTCAAATTTTTAAGTAACAGCAACATCTACGCTACTGGTAGGCCAACGGTGGATCCAGAGAAACTTTCTTCTGGGGGCGGAGGACAAGTATCTATTTTCCCAAAAATTAAAATATAACATTATAAAATAACATTCTTGACAAATGGGCTAATTCTCAACTTACATGGGCTAAAATATAAGCGGGCTACAGATTTTTTTGGTGATCGTATAAGCAAGGGTTGGGGCGCAAATATTTCTAAATTACTAGGGCCAAATTGTAAGTTTAGAAGGCTTGAGAATGTAATTTGTCATATATTTAGCGGTGCAACTGCCCTCCTAAGTCTACATGTGCATCGGCACCCATTTACACTTTATTCAGTCTGTATCAAGCTTCACTGTAAAAATGAACAAGTGTATTCGGTATCACAATGGTGTATGGTTTTGTTTCTGTTATCTGTTCTGCTTAACAATTATACATATTTCTTGATGAATGTACCTGCCATACTGTAATTGATCATACAGTACTTGCACATTGATCATACATTAAGCACCATACAGAGAAGCATATCAAATCATGTTCTATGATAAGATTCTTCGGCATATTGCAAAAAGCCTATCTATTCAACATCCTAAGAGTCAATGTTCAGAAAAAAGTTAAGCAGTCACTGAACTAAGTCACGCCAGAATTGCTGATAAAAGAATTAATTGACTAAAGTCTGCATAGCTCCACCATGCAAAATTATCCATATAAAAGTTTCACATAACAATGATGCAAGGAGAGAAACTAACACAAAATGCCTCATGCATTGGCCAACCCCCTCGCATCCTGGATATATCTTTTGTAACAATATCATGCCCAGCAGAAGCCAAAACTTCATTGAAAACGACAGTTGAATTGGTCGTTTCCGCCAGGCATGATATCTTGCAACTATTAAGGAAACAGATGGACAATACAAATCACAGAGCAAGCTTGAATCCCACCTTTTATTTAGAAAACTGCAAATAAATAACAGAAAGGATACAGCATTAAGAATTTCCTGACGAGAGTGTTTGTCGATTACAAATATAGCGGCTGAAAGCAAAGATTGAGTTGTCCTGCAGACACGAACATGATAAATGTCAGATTTTCATGCTCACTGGACAAAATATAAAGCTAGTATCTAGTCTAATACCTGGAAACATCAGTTTCGTTCAACTGATTTCCTCTGTTAGTGATGAATTCACTAACAGCCTGAATAACACCATCTGCTGACTGCTTAACCCTGTCACATATGGCAGCAGTGCACATATGCAAAGAGATGACCAGCTGGTCGAGAAATAAGAGGAACATTTTCAGCTCATATATGAGTGAAATTAAATTTATTCAAAGAGGAAATACATACCTCATCTCTTGTTAGTAAAACACATATAGAAGAAACAACCCTATTGAAGACCTCTGATTGATCAATAGATTCATCCTGCAGGATCACAACCTCAGCTACTTTTCACCCATAACCTATCACTTAGCACAATACAATATGGTAAGATAATGAAAAAGGCACTCACCCTTCTCAAAATGGAAATCACGTCTTCAAGAGATGACAATGCATTGTACGACAACTCCAAATCAATATCAGTGGCTATCAATTTTGGAAGCGATAAGGATATGCTGAAAAATATACCAACAATCTACAGAACAAAAGATCGAATGTAAGGACACCGTAAAAGGCATTTACATTCTGAAAATTACAACTGGACACCTTCACATAGATTTAACTAAAAATAGAAAGTTCCTAATGCCCAACCTGAACTGCAAGTTTTCTAACTTCATAACTGGTGTCAGCACAGCGTGGAAGATAAGCTATGACCCTCTCCCCCAAGCTTAAGGAGTCCCGGCTTGGCAATACATATGCAGCTGGAAGGAAAATTTATGTCAAGCCGTGATTATTATAATGGAAGAGACACATGGATAAAACCACTTATAAAAGTTGGTTTTACATGGTAAATTCGATAAGTTCTTTTGCACTGCCCGATCAATTTGTACGTTGTGTGAGCAACTTGAGCGGCAGCCAAGCCCACAAATTCCGCCAGAGCAAAGTGCACGGAACTTGAGCAACAACTCATAGACAGCAGCGCAAGCCCTTCTCCTTTGATGCTCCACTGAAGATGAAAGATAAAAATCTATCTGCCTTAGTATATGTAACAGCTGCTCCGCTCGACTACGACCATCTTCGCCACTGACAAGAGCAACTTGTTAATGCAGGAAACATCAAGAAGAAAAGATGGTAAGAAAGGATGTAGTATGGGTAGTGCTAGACACTACAAAAGTAAAATGAATATCTTCTGAATATTGTGCAAAGCATTGTATGGAAGCAAATGAACACGAGAAACAGAATAAGATACAATAGGCTCAGGCAAACTACATGAAATACCAAACCAGTGAAGTGTACATTGTCAGTGCTTTTGTCACTCAAACCATAAGTCCAATAACCCTTTTTATAGGCTGACGTTGCAGTAGGCATTCTCCAGCAGTCAATTCTCTTCAAACTGTCTTGGATCCTTATCTATGAAGCTTGCCTTGGAATATGTTGTTGTAACTTTCTTAATGTGCATATGGGGTAACTTCTGTCCATTGGATAATTTCCAAATCATCCGAACTGGCTTCCCGTTGTCCACTTTGCCAGCATGGTGCCTGACACATCATGTAAGAGCTGGCACGAGAAGTTTTTTTCTTTTTCATATTTACTTCAGAAAGTCTGGTGCAAGACCAAATTAATACTGAAGGACCCTTGGCCATCTCTCCTAAACATGTCGTCACATACCTGATACCTAATTAAAAAACAAAACTATACTATGGACCATGGTAGAATTGAAAAATAGGTAGCCTCGCGAATTTCCAATGAGGACAAGAATTTAAAAGCTAAGCTCGTGGACAAAAGATAAACGAGTGGAACACACATTTTCAGCAAAATTAAGGAATATCAAGACAGCCAAGTAACAAGCCGTACTAACACATTGAACCACCATCAGCTTCTGAAACACAAAGTTTCTGCTTTAAACGGAAGGAGTAGGGATAGCTGTCTTGGAACATGAGACCTTCTTAGAAGGTTTGATACAGCTCCGACATGTTAGAAGCTGAAACCCCGTTTAAACCATCTAATTGGCTGCAATTGTAGCCATCTTTGTGTCTCTTTCAGATAATCAAAAGGCTACCGAACTTCTTTTTGAAAATGATAACCGTCTTCTGAAGAACTTTTGAAGTAAATGTGCAAATTTTCCAACCTCCAATCAGCAACTGGGACGTTAACACAACAAAGTATAGAAGGAAGTTGTGAAGCTCATCCAAAATTTATCAGCCGCTTTGAACCTTCAACATTTTCTCCTTCTGAAAAGCAAGAGTATCTTCACATTTAAACTATCCTACTACTGAAAGTTCAACTTACGTACCTCCTAACCATACTTTCTTCCTTCATCCTATTTTCCTTCAAAACCATCAGGTAAGAACTAAGAACCATCTTCTTTGCTAATTTATATAGTCTCTATACTTGCAGCTTAAATTTTTGGTGCCAGAACTCATAAAACTAAGACACCGTGAATACAGTGATAAATATGGTGAAGATGTCAAAGACTGTAAAATTCAACTTCAATCACAGCTAGATAGAGGGAGTGTTTCATAAATGACCCTTTGAATTAGTGAAAGGCATGTAGTAGACAATGTTATGCACTAACAAAGTCATTTCAATATTAAATTTCATTAGACAGAATAGATGCCAACTTTGATTACACAAATCTGGACAGCAGGTTAAATGCATTCTTTTCCTTTCTTCTCTTGTATGTATGTGGAGAGGAAGCCTTACCTCCAGTGGATAAAAAAACATCACAGCTCGTTTATTTCCTATGGAACCCTCATTGAATGAGCTACTTGAGAAATTGACTTTTACTAGGTTGTTAAAATAGATATGCCCTTGAACTCCAAACTGAAGGGTCAACCCTGCATCCTTGACAGTTCCAAAATCACTATGTTCCTATCCAACCAAGCAGAATGAGGTCCATCTACTCATAGTACATGCACAGTGTTCTAGTTCTAGTAAGAAATGTTGTTGTTTCGACTAATCTTAATAACTATATTCCTAGAGACTTCAAAAATGTTTCCCCTCTAAAGGACAAAATTATTCTTTAGGTTGTAGATGAACTTGCGAGACCTCATACCTTTATCAACACTCATAGAACGAAATCTCTCTCCATCAACATGCTTCCGTGTGGAACTTAGCACTTTGGATAGTTATAAATGCAGACGACATCTGAGTTTAGGGTGGTAGATATACCACCAAGGATCACTACCAATAAGATTTCGGAAACATATTCCAAGTGGAATCATCTAGCCAGACCATGACAACTTCCTATTTAGGAGAGTGATTTACACGTAACTCTAAAGATCTGAAGAACAGGTTCTGCAGTTATGCACAGGCGTGCTCATAGTCATTCCAGCTTCAATAGCATAACCCTTTTTAGTTCATTTCAGATCTAGTTGTAAATAAGGATAGGTATCTCTACATTCTAACAATTAACGCTCGCATGAGAAACATTAAAAATAACACGAAACCAGCAAACAGCATACCATAGATGAAGGTGAGATACATAAAAAGTGCATCTATTATATAAATCTGCAAATCACGAACCATAAAGGAAGGTGAGAAATATAAGAATTCCATCTACAAGTAGTATCCAAGATGCATATTTAACTAAACTACTGCTAAGAAGTGCATCTATTAGTAACATACAAACTTCATATTTAACTAAAATACTACTTACCTTGTTAAAAGAATGGCGCATAATAGAGTAATGAGGTTCTTTATGAGTGGCTCAACAATATCAGAAGGATCATTAGGCAGAGCAAAAAAACCTAAAGTCGCCTGTTAAGATGATGGTATTTATTAATAGGAAGAAAAGAAAAACAAATTTCCAGACAATGTCCATTGTGCTTAATAAAACATTTGTCTAGTGAACTACCTTCATAACAAGATTCCTCGTCTCCATTGGCAATCTCGGCTCTATAGAAACCAAAGTAGTACACGCGCTTAAAGCAAGGCTCTGTAGAGGAAAACATAAAATGGTACCAAAACCAATGCTCATACACCTGTAAATATCAACTAGGAAGTGTGCATGCACAAACAAATGAGCAAAAACTTTACATACTTGAGTGTGAAGATGCTGACTACTTGAATCAAAGGAACTATCGCTATCGTCTCGGCCCATCAAAGTAAGCACATAATCAAGCAGCTGGTCCCTTCTCTTTAGGGAGAATGAGATTCCCATTTCAGCAGCATTGATAACAGCACATCCTGCATAGACCATAAAGTATTAGAGGACAGCAAAAAAATTCATTCCTGAAATATAGTCATAAGAACACATAAAATAGTCATATTGAAAAAAAAATTATAAGCATGGTCTTTTCTATTTGGCTCTTTTGGACTCAACTTGCATCCTTGAGTTAAATATAATACTCATTACACTTTTTCAGAGGGAGTAACGAGTATCCTGTCATATGAGGGGATTCTCATACAAATCAATGTGCCTCCTGAGTCTCAGCCAAGTGAATGG